ATACTTCAGGGCTGCTTTCACATCAGTAAATTAAGGGTTCAAACCTCTGAATGTACAGATATGAAGTGTTTGTTTGCCAGTTAGTCTAGATGTGTATATGATACATGTGTATGTGTGTGAATGTTTACATAGGAGCAGAAGTATGTAAACTATAATGTATAGATTTTTGAATAAAGCTGATCACACTGCTTGGGGGGGGGGTGGAATTCACAAAAATGGAGCGAATGTATGTATAGGCATGACACTACACCTGTGAGAATTGAGGTTTGACCAATAGCCTAGGGCATCCTTCCTTATTCTCAAAACCAACACTACAGGAAGAGATAAGAGCCAATGGATAGATACAAGTCATTTTGGCAGCAAAAAAAGGCCGCAAAAACAGGTGGGAAAGTTTCTGGGATGATGAAGGAAGAAGAGGAGGTGGGAAAAGAGAGAACAGGCTATTACCATCAGAGAAAAGGAGAGAGAGCAACAGTAGAAGCAGGTCTGCAGGCATGGATTAGTGAAAGGAATCGAAGTAGTAAATAAAATAAAAATGTGCAAATATTTACTCGAGGGTCTAAAACGGTCTCTGGATTCTGGTGATCTGAGCTTTGTACTCATGGAAATGGAACACTTGCTGTGGAATTACAGTCCTATATCTGGCAGAGCAGAAAATAAAAATCAGAATGAAAACAAAATAAATCACAAATGAAAATTGTCAACTAGACCTGTATCACAAAGTCGTTGGACTTTATCTTGTGGCAGTGAATTCCACAGGTTAATTATATACTGCATGAAAAGTGTTTATTAATTTTAAACTTTCTCTCTTTACATTTTTCATTTTATTCTCATTTATTCTTGTATAGGGAGAGAGAATAAATGGGAGTGTCAGGTTTCCTTTTTCTATACTTTTCATTATTTTGTGTACCTCTCCAATATTTCCCTTTTAAGTTTTTTGACACTGAGCTCTTGAGTCTTTAGAGTAAAAAATAATTGTATTCCATCCTGATAAGTGTACTTTGTGCTGTACCTTACTGCCAGTATGATTTTTTTTTTTTCTCCAAGGTACAAGTATCCTATATAACTGCACACACCCACTCATTAAAAATAAATCCTATTACATATTCAGAAGGCTATATCTATACTGAGGCAATTAGAATTATTTACTTATGAGAATGAAATTTCTCCCTTGAGGTACAAGGCCTTCTTATCAAGTATGTACCGTATATACTCGATCATAAGCCAGTTTGTTTGTAAGTCGACCCCCCGCCCCCCAAGATGGATAAATAAAAATGGAAATTTTTTATGACCCATTCATAAGCCGACCCTATAATTCAGGGGTCGGCAAACTTTGGCTCCCGGGCCATCAGGATAAGCCACTGGCCGGCCGAGATGGTTTGTTTACTTCGAGAGTCCGGAGGCACGGAGGTAAACCTAAGTAAACAAAGCTGCTTACCCTGACAGGCTGGGACAGCAACTGGTGGGGAAATTTAGTGAGGAGGAGAAGCTGGGGGTCAGGGGAGTAACCCCTGTGACCACTTCCCACATGACTCCACCCCTAGCCCGGGACTCCCACACTCTCCCTTTCCCATCCCTTCCCACCTTAGCTGGGGCAGGCCAGGGGAGACTGTGCCAGCTTCGGAGGCTGGGGGGAGAGCAGCGTGGTCAGAAGCAGAGACTCTGGCCCCGCCTCTTCCCTTCTGGCTCTGCTGGCTGTGCTGCCTCTCCTTGCTCCCTCTGTTGGGAGAGGGAGGGAGGCTGTGTCCCACCTCTCCCTCTCTCTATACCCATTCATAAGCCGACCCCTTCTCTGATGCTTCCCTTTTTTACTAAAAATTCGGCTTATGAACGAGTATACATGGTATAAATTTGAATGTCACACTGAATTTTATATTTCTATAGAAAATGTATGTCCTGATTACAAAAAGTCCTGTTGTAGCTACCTGTGGTAGCAATAGAGTGAGTGCTAATGTAGGTAGGCTTTCTGAGGCTGACTGGTACTTACCTTCATATTGAATCATTTTGGACATAGCAGATATAAAAGAGACAGTACTGTTTTTTTTGTTTTTTTTTTTGTTTTTTTTTTAACAAAATTGGAACCTTTTCTATGCTGGCACTACCATCAGTGGAACTTAACCAGTGGTAGCAAAAGTATGACTTATTTCTGGGAGAGAAGACTAATGTAATTAGTGATTTGCAGGGTGGCTCCTCTTTAGGTTAAGCGGTACCAGTAAATGCTCTCAAAATGCCCCTTAAAGTACTTATGTTTGCCCTCAAGTAATGATACTGACCCACCTCTGAGTTTGTGAAATGCTAAAATCCAGAAATTCTCCATGTGTTTCTTGCACACATGATGATGTGCGTATGTTATATGTTGTCAAAAATTCTCCATGTTTTCTTTATTTACTGGAGGTCACTGCTGTTTGCTTGGGCAGAGTAGACACAATTTAAATAACTCAGTGAGCTATGAGAGAAGCACAACAGGTTGTGCACTGTAATTGGCTAATTAAGTCACAGCATTTAAGACTAGGACAATTGTGATTAAATGACTACTGCAAATGCATCTAGAGGTTTTCTTTCAAATTGGGAGGTATTAATTAAAAAGTGTAGCCAGAGGATCCACTAGTGACAAGAGTCCCAGCTGAAGTCTGGGAGTACTGTGCTCCACTTCCATCCACATGAGGCCTCTCTAAGTGTCATGGAAATCTGTCATCTTTTTCTATAGATATCTCTATAGTTTTGGGAACCAAACATAGAAAATCTTGACTTCTTTCCCTTCTGTCTGTTTTTATTTTTTTGACAATTAACGATATTAGTTATTCTTAGTTTGTATAGTTGGAAACGTTTATACAATTCTGAGTTTCAGAATAGGGTGGGAAGTCTATATCAAAGTACTTGAGACTTCTAGGGCCTATTTTGCCTCTGAAAATGAGCAGCTGAATTATAGAATCATAGAAGATTAGGGTTGGAAGAGACCTCAGGAGGTCATCTAATCCAACCCACTGTTCAAAGCGGGACCAACCCCAACTAAATCATCCCAGCCAGGGCTTTGTCAAGCCGGGCCTTAAAAACCTCTAAGGATGGAGATTCCACTACTTCCCTAGGTAACCATTTCAGTGCTTCACCACCCTCCTAGTGAAATAGTTTTTCCTAATATCCAACTTAGACCTCCCCCACTGCAACTTGAGACCATTGCTTCTTGTTCTGTCATCTGCCACCACTGAGAACTGCCTAGCTCCATCCTCTTTGGAACCCCCCTTCAGGTAGTTGAAGGCTGCTATCAAATCCCCCCTCACTCTTCTCTTCTGCAGACTAAATAAGCCCAGTTCCCTCAGCCTCTCCTCGTAAGTCATGTGCCCCAGTCCCCTAATCATATTTGTTCACCTCCGCTGGACTCTCTCCTATTTGTCCACATCCTTTCTGTAGTGGAGACCCCAAAACTGGTTGCAGTACTTCAGATGTGGCCTCACCAGTGCCGAATAGAGGGGAATAATCACTTCCCTCGATCTGCTGGCCATGCTCCTACTAATGCAGCCCAATATGCCGGTAGCCTTCTTGGCAACAAGGACACACTGTTGACTCATATCCAGCTTCTCGTCCACAGTAATCCCCAGGTCCTTTTCTGCAGAACAGCTGCTTAGCCAGTCGTTCCCCAGCCTGTAGCAGTGCATGGGATTCTTCCATCTTAGGTGCAGGACTCTGCACTTGTCCTTGTTGAACCTCGTCAGATTTTTTTTAGCCCAATCCTCCAATTTGTCTAGGTCACTTTGGACCCTATCGTTACCCTCCAGTATATCTACCTCTCCCCCCAGCTTAGTTTAATCTGTGAATTTGCTGAGGGTGCAATCCATCCCACCATCTAGATCATTAATGAAGATGTTGAACAAAACCGGCCCCAGGACCGACCCCTGGGGCACTCCGCTTGATACCAGCTGCCAACTAGACATCGAGCCGTTGATCACTACCCGTTGAGCCTGACGATCTAGATAGCTTTCTATCCACCTTATAGTCCATTAATCCAATCCATACTTTTTTAACTTGCTGGCAAGAATACTGTGGGAGACCGTATCAAAAGCTTTGCTAAAGTCAAGATATCGTGTCCACTGCTTTCCCCATATCCACAGAGCCAGTTATCTCGTTATAGAAGGCAGTCAGCTTGGTTAGGCATGATTTGCCCTTGGTGAATCCATGTTGACTGTTCCTGGCTAATTTCTAGTTAAATTAATCACTGTGTGAACGTGATGTCTCATTTCATGTAATTCCTCTTAACACGAATAATTTAAGATGGGCAAGAGTTAAAATCAAGACCCCTTATGTGAGGTCACAGATTTTCATCCCTCTCCCACCTCAGTGTGAAGTTTGAAATTAGGTTACAGAACTCTCTGAAACTGACAAGCTGGAAATGTTAAACATCATGCTTGAAGCTTTGTTCTTGCTCTGTTGTATTATGCTTAGGGTTTTTGTTGGAGAAAAGAAAAATCTCTTTAGTACTCAAAATACTTATAGCAATGTTACCATTTCAACAGGATCAGGTTAACCTTTCTCAGGTGTGCTGGAATTAAAAAAAAAACCCTTTATCAGTAAGAAATTAAGTTGGGTGTGTCAGGGAATTTGAAGTTAACAATTCTTGTAAAAAGTGTGAGATTGTGACATGGAAGATATCATTCCCCCAAACATCTTTTATGGAGACTTGAATGGGCAGAGTGGTCTTTGGCCTCACTTGCTCTGGGAAAATGCCTCACGTTAGAAAACCTGTTAACGAATCTGTTTTAATTAGCATGATATTGAATGTAACTTAGCAGTAATGGGCAACTCATGTTTAACATTGCATTAGCTTAAAAAAATGTCAGCATGTTTTCTAACATAATGCACTTTTGGAGCGTAGACATACCTTTTGTTAAAACCTTAGAACCTTGCAAGCTAGTGTATTTCTTAAGCTGACAGCTGTCTTGAATACTGTTCTTGCATTTCCCTGTTTTGAATCTTTTCCTAATTATTTCTTCTGTTCTCTCTTCCAGAAAGACGAGGTGTACCTCAACTTGGTGCTGGACTACGTTCCTGAAACAGTATACAGAGTTGCCAGACATTATAGTCGGGCCAAACAGACACTCCCTATGATCTATGTCAAGGTAGGTAATTATAAATTGAAATAGGAAGTTTGCTGTAACATAACATTTCTAATTGTGGTTAGTTTTCCCCAACCTGAACTTTAAATTCTCACACTAAACTGCAGGGTAGATTAAACAGTGAAGGGTTTATTTCAAGGCAGCAAGATCTATAAAAAGAAATGATTATAAGAGGAAATTGTTGGAGCCTAACTGTGTGTATAAAAAGTTTAAGGTAGCAAGTTTCAGCAACACTCTGTGCTGTTGTTTAGACTCCTACATTTTAAGAGAAATGATAACCCAGCAGTGATGTTTTGTCCCAGAGACAAATCAATGTATCTGGGCTGTTGTTGAAGTAGTATGTTTACAATTTAACTGTATGCCCTCCAGAATTTGCCCAGTTATTTGGATCTTATGCTGTTAAACATTTTCAGGTGTTTGCAATTACAATAAGATCATATCCTGCTTAAAGGTTCTTAAGTTTAAATGCTCATGGCTTTCCTACATACACACTCTGGGGAAACTGGTTTTACCTGAGCACTATCTGTAGATTTTTATTTATTTTATTTATTTATTTATTTTGAAGGATAACTTAGCAAGGTAGGGTAGTGTCAGAGTTTTATTACCAAATAAGTCAAAAAACTGTTAAGCCTCATTGGAGCTGTCCACAATGTGAATTCTGGTAGTGGAGGTATGTACTAAAATTATACATATAAAGTAGAACATACTTTACTCCACTTAGGAATGAATAATCAGTTGTACACATACAAAATGGGAATTGAGTGCCTAAGAAGGAGTACAGCAGAGAGAGGGATCTGGGGTTCATAGTGGATCACAAACTAATTATGAGTCAACAGTGTGACACTGTTGCCAAAAAAGCAAACTTCATTCTGGGATGTATTAGCAGGAGTCTTGTAAGCAAGACACGAGACGTAATTCTTCCGCTCTACTCCACGCTGATTAGACCTCAACTGGAGTATTGTGTCCAGTTCTGGGTGCCACATTTCAGGAACGATGTGGACAAATTGGAGAAAGTTGAGAAGAGCAATAAAAATGGTTAAAGGTCTAGAAAACATGATCTGTGAGGGAAGATTGAAAAAACTGGGTTTGTTAAGTCTGGAGAAGAGGTGACTGAGAGGGGACATAACAGTTTCTAAGTACATAAAAGGTTGCTACAAGGAGGAGGCATAAAAATTGTTCTCCTTAACCTCTGAGGATAAGACAAGAAGTAAAGGGCTTGAATTGCAGCAAGGGTGGTTTAAGTTGAACATTAGGAAAAACTTCCTAACTGTCAGGGTAGTTAAGCACTGGAATAAATTGCCTAGAGAGAATGATGGAGATTCCGCAATGGAGATTTTTAAGAGCAGGTTAGACAAACACCTGTCAGGGATGGTCTAGATAAATTTAGTCCTGTCATGAGTGCAGGGGACTGGACTAGATGACCTCTTGAGGTCCCTTCCAGTCTTACGATTCTGACATACAGCTTCTAACATTATATAATATGGAAGATAAGAAAGTAACAATGTAAAATAACAACAACAAAAAAATACAAATTGCATCCAGTTGTATTCTGAGAGAGGGCATCATACTAAATTTTGTATATACCAGTTTTTGACTCCTCGGGTAATAAAGAACACTCTTAGACTTTTTGGAGAAAACTTACAAAATACTTGTATATTTATAAAGGGAAATTCAGACAACAAATTTGACTTGTTTGTAATTATTGCATTTTAAAGTTAACATCTCCTAATGGTGTATCTGGGGTGCTATAAAATAACAAAAACTAACTTGAACCTGGAGGCCGGACAGTATTCAGGCTGTTGACAGAAATGGGCCGGGGGGAGGGAAAGAAAAAAATCCACAAAGAATAGTTAGTGATAAAATTGAGACAGATACGACCTTATTGCTATACCTACCAATTAAAAGACCTTGAACACAACTCTGAAGGCAGCCAAAGGTAGGCAGAAGGATCCTGCTTTGCAACTGGACATGCTTGCTTTGGCCAGTAATCTGCCAGGTAGAGCTCTCAGGTAGGTGAACAGCTTCAGAGCAATTCCCCATTCCCATGTTTGTAGCTATCATGTGTTAGACTAGAGTTTTGAGTAGGAGGAGAGTGGATACTTCTATTTAGCGTGGTTAGTTGTTCCCACTCCAAGTGAAGTCACTCCAAGCAGTAGTGACTGTGCTCACCTTCTTCCACCCAGAGCTTTAAAAGTAAAACTCTGGGTGGAGGGAGGTGGGGATGTCGGGACACAGCTCAATTGACTGGTGGAAAGACAGCATACAAGAATCACTGGAAGTGGGGTACGGCAGAGAATTGTTGTAGAGGTTAAAAGTAAAACCAGAGAGGGATGGTGTAGAAGGTCCGGACTCACCCCTGCGGCACCTCCTGCTGGTCGTCCAGGGAATTAGCTCACCAGCCTCTGGAGCGCCCTCTGCAGGCCGGTGATCCGCCTTGTCGTCTTCTGGCGCCCGTGTCCCTCCCAGGACCCGGTGCCCCTATTACTGGGATGCTGCCCCCTGGCAGTACCCCACAGATCTGAGTCTCCCCTCCCTGGGGAACCCCCACCCACTGTCCCCACCTTGCCTCAGCACTAGGCCACTGCCAGTCACCAACTAGCCCCCGCTCCCTGGGGCAGACTGCAGTATCAGCCACTCATCACCGGCAAGGTTGGTTTGGACCTGCTGTCTTGGACTAGCCCTGGGCCGCCCTCTGCAACCCCCTGTACCCCTTGGCCTACTCCTAGGCCGCAGCCTGGGGCTTTCCAGGCTGGAGCTCCCCAGCTCCTCAGCCTTTCCCCAGCCCTGCTCCACCCAGGTACTCTGTGTCTAGCTCCCTGCAGCCAGGTCCTTCTCTCCCTGAACGCAGAGAGAGACTCTGTTGAGCTCCTGGCTCCCAGCCTCTTTATATAGGCCAGCTGGGCTCAGATTGGGGTGTGGCCCAAGTGCAGCTACTTCCCCAATCAGCCCAGTAGCTGCTTCTCCCTGCCACAGCCTTCTCCCAGGGCTGTTTCAGGCCCTTTCAGGCAGGAGCGGGTGTCCACCCCGCTACAGATGGTCTTTAAAATTTCCCTCTAGATGTATTGGACCATACCTCAGGACTGCAATTGGGACAGGCAGCTAGACAGTAGAAGCAAAAGAGATCAATTTAGAGTGGTAATTGTATTTTACTTGGGACTGGGTGTCCAACAAATTATCATAGTTAAATTGAAAAACTCAGTCTCCCTTTCTCTCTTCCCTACCTCCTAACCATTTGAGATATGTAGAGAGATCCCCACTACAGTTAAAAATGAACCTGCTGTCCCACGGAATAAGGAGAAATGGGTGCTCAACTACTTCTGGCCCTGATTAATTGTATGTTATCAGTAAGAGTAAAAACCGATGTAATATTTAGAGGCTTTGTAGAGGCTGTGCAATTCAAACTGAACCTTGACAATGCCTTTACCTGCACCATTCTGCTTCCCCCCACCCACCATAATGATGAGATTTTAGTCCACCTTCAAAATAGCACAGTTCCACTAACACAAACTTTAACCAACAAGAATATTTTGCTAACACTGTGTTAAGCTCTCCTGGTCTACTTTATTTTTCCATTGCTGCTGATCACCAGGATTGCATACATTTTTGCATGGAAAAACTTTGTCCCTTACAGCTGCATTTCTTGTTTGTACCTTATTCAGGCAGAGTGGTCTCAGTCTAGTGGATGTGATTCACCGCCATTGAATGAAACTGTAGAGAGTAAGAGGAGGTTGGTTAAAGAAGTGCACATTTTGGTTTGTAAACACCATGATACCTTGGTGATCAGCTCCGAGTAGTAAATGAAGGACACACACAGGACTGTTTAACAGGGTTATGGTTAAATATTTCTGCAGACTTTGTGTGTGCAGTCCTCAGTATTTATAACATCCCCTCTAGGGTTTGTTTACACAATGCATGGAGGGCATTGAGGAACATTCTCTGCATGAAATGATGGGTTTTCCCATCCTTGGTTTTTGCAATGGCCCAGTGCTCTTTCTCACGAGTATGTTTTTAAGCAGAACCATTTTGGCACTTCCTCACACAGTACATCCTACAGTCACAATTGCAACAATGCATTCTGGAACTCCTGAAGCACCTATTCTCCTTCGAGTGGCTCCTGCATATGCCCACTCATGATGCACCAGCCATGGGCAACTCAAATGGTGGGACCTTGATAGTGGTGTCCATTTGAGTGCTCATGCACTCCTCTTGCCCTACTTTCCACATTGTATGGATGAGGCTGTAAAAGGGGTTCGTTGCGTTAGCTCTCTGTTCCGTCCAACTCTGTGCAACTGGAATGAATCAGGAATCTACCCAGAACTCATGTTTGGATCTTTCTCTTAGATAAAGCCCAGTTAGTTACGAAATGCTAGTTTTAGATACAGTTACTCGTTTTAGTTTAATTAGCTTTTTTTGTGTTCGATAGCGTAGCATTCAGAAGCTTTGGGTCTGTATTAAGACCTGCTGCCAGATCCAAAAATAAAAACAAATAAAGCTTTAAACAATGTGGATTCTGCGCTTCAGTCTTTCTAGCATTGGATGCTCATACACTGTGTCTTGCCTGCCTTAGTGAAGGACATTCACCCTCCAGGTGCTCCATCTGCAACATCTTTACCCTGAGAGTAGAGAAGAAGAGACAGAATGGACTACAAGTAATCGCCTTCAAGGAAGCAATTGCAGCTCTGCCTGCCAGATTGGGTAATAAGGTCAGTTCCAAGAAGTGATATACACCAGTCTTGGCACTGGATGCATCGAAGGACGAGTCGATTTACATAAACCTACATATCAGAAATCTATTAAGAGAGTCATCGTGAGATGGCCATCAGTCACAGCTTCTGTAAGGAGAGCCAACCCACAAACGAGAAGCTCCTCGGATCCTACTACATTGGAGTCAAGTAGAGGACCATTGTGTAAAGACTCTGGAAATAGAGCTAAGAAACACGCAGCTGTGACACCAGATCCAGCTGTCACGCTGGTTGCCAGAGACTTTGATCCAGTAGGAAAATCGAAGGATCCAAAGATTCACTTATCAAGACAAAGAGGCAGCAAAAGATAGTATCAGATCTGAGTATCTGTTCCGATTCCCTTACCCAACCCTCTCTGACGGGACTGGCACAAATCCATCATTCTGCTCCAATGCCCCCTCCTCAATTAAATTTAGAGAGAGAACTACAGAAGAGAAGGAACTCCTCTCTAGATTTGACTGTCGTAGGGAACAGAAGGGTAAAAGAACAACAAATTTCTTCTCCTCTTCCATCCCCCTAAAACAGCATTGGGGTCCCCAGTAGGTTTCTTTCCTATATTGGATCCACTGCTATCGCATCTTGGCACCTGATTATGTCTAAGAGTGGCAGGTGCCATCTTTGTTCTGTCCACCATTAAAGAGAAAATGATTGGGCTCTCAACCTTTCTCAGAGAACCCCCGTGGTGGGATCATATTATGAATTGGACCCAAATATGGATTGGAGAATGCTCCCAAGGCACAGAGATGGTCTTATTGGTCAACTCCATCTTACTAACCAGATCTGCAGCACGAAGGGTATAGTGGATATCTTCAGTCACCAGTACCATTGGAACCAGGCATTACAGAACTAAAGATACAGGATCTATTGGCAAGAAGAACAGGAGTACTTGTGGCACCTTAGAGACTAACAAATTTATTAGAGCATAAGCAAGTGGGTTGTAGCCCACGAAAGCTTATGCTCTAATAAATTTGTTAGTCTCTAAGGTGCCACAAGTACTCCTGTTCTTCTTGCGGATACAGACTAACACGGCTGCTACTCTGAAACCTGTCAAAAGGATCTATTGATATCACATAAGAAAGGAGACCAGTCTCCTGCTCTAATGCATGATTTTTTGTCTGATGTAGAGGAACAGATCGCCCTTCAGGAGTTTGAAGAATTATATCTTGAAACTGACAATGGATATCTCCTGAAGAGATCCTAGGTGTCTGCACTGCCACATCTCCATCAAAGGAGAATGCAGCCTTTCAGGTATTAGCTTAGTTTATATCATTTACCCAGGAGGGAATTTCTTTCATACTCTCCTGGTGTCAGATTCCTTAGTAGTGGAAGCAGCTGTTTAAAGATCTAAGAGTGGTTCAGTTTACTTTACTCTCTTGGAGAAACACAAAATGATGATGGATGAACTCGGAAGAACAGTTCTCTTCTATGTAGACCTTAAGGGTTGTGAACTACCAAGTTGTTCTGGCACATTACCAATACTGTCTTTGGAAGAAAATGTCAGCCTTTACTAAAAGGCTATGCCAGATCAACAAAAGAAACTTGCTAATGCTTTTGCTACAGAGAGCCAGCAAGTAGTAGTAAAGCGTGCATTGCAAGCATCTTTTGATTCTTCAGAGTAGACAGCTAAAACTGTAGTATCTGCAATTCCTCTTTGACATGTCTCGCTCAAATTTTCTAGACGACCCCGAGAAACTAAAGCTGATGTAGAAGACTTTCCCTTTGAAAGAGAAGGTCTATTTAGTACCAAGACTAATGACTTTCTGGAGAAGATGAAGAAAACAAATTATGCAGCAAGCCCAGAGAAGACCAGGACTACCAGTATTTAGGTACCAAAGATAGCTTCCTTCATTGCCATCTTCCCTTTTTTTTCCAGTACAGAGGAGATATTATTGCCAACAGCAATATCCTCCTCAACAGTCTTTCCAGCAGAGGAGAAGAAACTTCAAAACAAGGGCAAAAGGTAAGCAAACATCTTTGGCAGCTATGGTGTTGAACCTTAGCCCACAGGTTTAAGGCATTTCATAAGGACTGCAATCCAGTCTTGACCGATGCTTACTTTTCCCTCTTCAGAGGGCTACTTTATCAATATTTCTACTATTGGACTTCTATAATTATGGACAGGTGGATTTTAGAACTCATCCGCACTGGGTATTTGATTCAATTTGAATACTTTGCCTCTTCCAACTCACCCTCCCTGTTTCTGTTCAGGAACGCCTCTCATAAGAACTTGTTAAAAAACGAGGTTCTGGCTTTACTCAAAATGGGAGTTGTAGAAGAGGTACCAGGGAGATTCAAGGCGCACAGGATTTTATGGAAGGTATTTCATAATCTCCAAGAAAGATGGAGGCCTTTGACTGATTCTAGACCTCAGGAAACTCAATACATCTCTCAGGAAGTTCCATTTCCATATGTTAACCCTAGCTCTATCATACCCTCCCTTTCTCCAAAAGACTGGTTTTCTGCCATTGATTTGAAAGATGCCTACTTTCACATTGCTGCAAGTCATGTATATCAGAAGTACCTTTGATTCACAGTGGAGAGAAGACTATTTTCAATACAAGGGCCTTCCATTTGAACTTTCTCCTGTCTCGTGGCATTTATTAAATGTCTATTGGCAGTGGCAGCTCACCTAAGAAAAGAGGAATTTGTGTTCCTGTATCTCGATGAATGGTTAATAAGGCCCATCAAATGATCATCTAGTCATTGCCATCCTTTGCATGTGTACTCTCTTCAGAAGTCTTTCATGATAAACCAGAAAATGCCCCACTGTTACAGCCTTCTCAGAGAATCCCTTTCATAAAGGAGTATGCAGAGGCCACTCAAAGGAAAAATGAAAGTTACTCGTGACCAAAATTCTTTGAGGTGGGACTCTACATATTCACACCCCATACTCACCTTCCCCTCTTCCTTGGGAGTCTTAATTATAACCTGGACCAGAGGTGGGAAGGAACTGAGATGGCCAGAGTTCCAAAAGGCTCCACACTCCAGAAGGCATTGCTAGCTAGGTTCCACCATCTGAGCTGTACGTGGCTAGTGCGTCTCATGACTATGTAGCATGTGTCTTGAAGAACTTCAGTTACAAGTAACCAATGTTCATTTTCATAGTGCTTGGCGCCATTGCTGGGAGCAAGGACTTCGGGACAGTTTCAAAATATCTAGATTTTACTCTTTCCTCTAGATTTGATCTAAAGGCCATCCCAAGCAATGCAAATTGCTAGGACAACCAACACTAGAAAGTTGCTTGGTGTGGGTGTTGTGTGTGGATGCACTAAGTTGTACCAGTGTAGCAAGCTCAAGGGTTCCATTCAAGAATTTGTCACGCTGCCTCTTCACCTAATATAGACAGGACTTGAGAAATCTGACATGGAAATATTTCTATTTGCTGTGTGTTTTTTCTCTCTGTCAGCCATCATTCCTTGTAGGGTTGCTTGTGAATGCTGGACTGCTGTCATGAATATTCTTTACGAATAAAACATTTTTGTTTTTGAAAGGTCAAGGAATACTTGCATAACAAATTACACTGACTTGAACAAAGAAGTGTTGAGGTTGTGTGGAAGGGAAGAAAAGTGAAGTCCAACATTTAGGCCTTACTCGTCTTGCCAACATTGCTTTAAATTTTGTCTAGTTTTTTTTTTTTTTTATTGGTATGCTGTAGAATTCACTCTGGCTTACTATGTAGGGTTTTTAGTATGCTAATCTCTCTCCCACTCCTTCTCCCCCCCCACCCCACTCTTTGTTACAAGGAAGTTGTACATTATACCTTGTCTGTTTGTGTTCCAGTTGTACATGTATCAGCTGTTCCGGAGTTTAGCCTATATCCATTCCTTTGGAATCTGCCATCGGGATATAAAACCACAGAACCTCTTGCTGGACCCTGATACAGCTGTCCTAAAACTCTGTGACTTTGGAAGGTAAGTCTGTCTCTTTGGCCTGGTCTACAGTACACTTAACACTTATACTGGCATAGCTAAATTACTTAGGGATGTGATTTTTCATTACTGACATAATTATGCCAGTATAAGCCCTGATGTAGACACACTTATGACAGTATAAAAGTGCCAGTATACCTTATGTCTCTGGTACTACAGAAGCACTTTTATACTAGTATAAACTGTGTCTACACTAGAAGGGCTTGCCAGTGTAGCTATGCCAGCAAAGTTTTTCTAGTGCAGACAAGCTCTTTGTATTCCAAAGCCTGATTAAAACTAATTTATCTGAAGAGAACCGTGACCTAATTCGACACAGAGACTTTTTATATTACATAGAACAGTATCGTAATAGGGTTCCCTTCTAGTTGGAAAAGGCTGAGCACAGAGGCTTTTTATCTCAATCCTCCCCCTTTTCCTGCCATTTGTGTGTGTGTGTGTGTGTGTGTGTGTGTGTGTGTGTGTGTGTATAATTATCTCAGAGAGAGAAAGGGATTGGGTGAATGCAAGAGGATTCAGAAAGAAAGGGAATTAAAAAAATCAAAACAAGAAATTGTACAGGTATGTTTAAAAAAAAAAGTATACAGATGTGAAGAGAAAATATAGTGGCTAGGAAAGAACAGCTATCCGAGTTTAACTATTGGGTGATGGGTGTGATATAATAACCCCAATAGAAAAATATAATGCTAATCCAGTACTTCTTGAATATGTATGTTCTGAATCCATGTTTATACCAATTAGTATAGTATTTCAAATACCACAGGACTTAGTCAGCCAGAGATAATAGACTTTTAACTAAGGGTCTTAGATACTGGGATTTACAAGTCTTTTGTCAAAAGGCACATTCTTTTTCTGGTATCCATAGAGCAGGATTGTCATTAGATGCTTAAAGCTGTAAATCTCTTTACGTGGGCAAGATCACTGGTAGAAGTCAGAAATCCACTTCCTTTCTCTGAGTCCCTTTAACTGTAGTAGACTTAAGTAACTTGGAGAGTATGTGTGTATGAGATGTCACCAGAGCAGTTGTTGCTAAACTAGCTTGATTATTGTAAATTGGTACTTTGAGTGGTGTTTGAAGCGCTATAGATTCATGCCCGGTGGTTCAGGAATCTTCTCCTGAGATTGTAACAGAAGACTGTTAAAATAAGAATGATGGACTAAAACTTTTTTTACAGGCAAAATTAAGCTAACACTATTTAGCTACATAGGATGCTCCATGAAAAAAATAGGAGTTTCAGATCAGGTTAAAGGAGAAAAAGACTAAATATTGGGGGGGCGGGGGGGAAGGGGGGTTGTTTGTGTCAGTGTAACTGAGCATTTGATTTGAATTGCTTCCACAGCATATGGACAGCATCAGATTACCAACTCTTTTTAAGCTGCATTGCTTTTTTGAATGATGATGATCCAACCCAAAATGTGTGTTCAAGTATAACTCACATGTTTGAGACACAAAAATCTCTTTTTAAAAGATTACAATACATGAAGCTAACACCAAAGGAGAAGGAATCAATCACCTTAAGGCAAAACAGGGAGAATGCTACTTTTAGAATTTGACAGATACTAAATGTCTTGTCTGCCACCCTCCAGAAAGAGCCCCACACCAATTAACCCATATTGCTATCATTTAAAAATAAAGTAATCAGGAGCATTCAGTAGAAGCTCTTTGTTAGATTGGGGCTAAATTCTGAAACCTGGAGTGAATCTTCTCTCAAGAATATACATTGGGGTTTCATATGGTCCAGGAGACTGCAGAAGGAGAATTAAAGATCGAGAAAACTAAAGGATGAGTTGGGAAGGGAGAAGAAAATGTATGGAAGGAGATAAACCCCTAGATTTGCATCTAGGACGAGAGTGGTCAAATATCCAGTAAAACACAAAATGTATAATGTTTGAGTATACATTGAAAACATGGCTTTGGAAATTTACATTTCTACTTATTTAATTTTGCAAAACCCTTTTATTTAGAATCTAAATAATTAGTATGAATTACATTGATGTGCCTTTAGAGCAACTGGAGCAGCAGTAGTAGTAACTCAGTGCCCTGCCACGTGGGGGAATCTTCATTTGGATCTGAGTTTGTCCTATTGTCCCTTGATTTTATATATGGTTGTGTTGTACAAAAAGATGCTGTGGGCATAACTCAGCTATGTTTGTTTTAATCATTTCAGCTGTGTGGCACAAACTGGTTACAAAAATATGATTATACTGAAGTGTAGATAGCACTAGCCTCTGTTTGCCAGAAGCTGGAAATGGGCAACAGGGGATAGATCACTTGATGATCACCTGTTCTGTTCATTCCCTCTGAGGCACTTGGCATTGGCCACTGTTGGAAAACAGAATACTGGACTGGATGGACCTTTGGTCTGACCCAGTACAGCTGTTCTCATGTTCTTATATCTTCTAAAAGCTACTGTGGTTCACACTTTGCTTCTGCTGCCCACCCCATATAATGTTTTCCATCTATATCAGCTAAAGCTGTGGGAGTACAGTAGGTAATAGATATGTTCATTGCCTGATGTTGCAAATGAAACTTCTTGAGTTCCTTCATTTTCTTCGGTGGGGGGATGTTACCTGAGGTGACTGCTGCTTTGACAGAGGCAATTCTGCAGTAGTTTAGGGCCCAGATGGACATTGTGCAATGCAGACAAAGCCTTAATGTTAAGTCAGGGCAGAGCCCATTGTCAGATGCCTGCAGTCTGCTCTTTCTCCTATTCGTCCCACTGCAAAAAATAAAAATAACCTACCATGCCTTCCTAAGCAGTATAGAACCAAAGGAGTGCTGATGTGATCATAAAGAAAGGTGATATTTAGGTGTGAGTGAGTGGTAGGGGGTTTTGAACCTCAACAGTTGACTAAATTTGACTGAACCAGACTCTGTCAAGCCTTTATCCTCTGTAAATAAATCTTTGCACCCAGCAAAGTAGTATAGTGTTATCCAGGAATATGAACCTATTTGTCTGCTAGATTGTGCTCAAGATGTCCTTTGGCATGGCCAATGTGTTATAAGATAACTGGCTGTTGGTTTGACCGTTTAAAAAAAAAAAAAGACTTTGTCACATGCATCTGTAATGGGTTAGACCCCCATGTCCGGGATGCTACCTGATGTACTGGGGTTTCACTGAGCCTCTCCTGCTCCACCAGCCTGGATTCCCTCTCCCTGCTTTGCTGAATTAGGCTCTCTGGCCTCTTGCAGCACACACACAGGTAGGGCCACACCCTGCTGCAGACACAGACTGAAGTCAGCTGTGTGTGAGAGGGCTCCCCCAGCATTCACATGCACACCCTTTTGGGAGATAAACCCAAAATAACACTGTCTTGCACTGTATAGAAAAATCTGCACAGCGTAAGCTCATAAAATGTCACCCTCTTCCTCAATGTGAAGAGAGGATAGGCACTACTTCTTTTCCCCCCCAGTTAGAAATTATATAAACTGGGTTTAATAATAAAACAAATTTTATTAACTATAAAAGGCCGATTATAAGGGATAGCAAACAGAACAAAGCAGATTACTAAGCAAATAAAACAAAACATGCAAACTAAGCTTGATTCACTAAAGAAACAGGTTACAAAATGTAATTTCTCACCCTAAATGTTGAATTAGGCAGGATGCAGAGTTTCTGTAGCTCAGAGTTCCAGTTATTTCTTCTTACAGACTGGACCCACCCTTGTCTTTCCCTTCAGGTTAGTTCCTTTGTCCCTTCAGGTTCTTTCAGCACTCCTTATTCTTGGGTAGGCAATGGAGGAGAGTCCCGTTTGCCTTCCTCTCCACCCTTAAATAAGATTTACATAAGACGAGATCTTTTGTTTCCCAAACTTGACCCCCCCTCTCCTTTTAGTGGAAAGTTACAAGAAGTCCAAGATAATGTTTAGTATCCGGTGACAAGACCACCTGACCTAGTAGTGTCACAGCTATGTCCCAGGACGCCTCCCAGGAAGGAGAAAGATTAGTATCTTCACAGTCTTGTTGCTTCTTCCTAATGGCCCATCAAATCTGGTGACCTGTTGTCCGGTGGGTGTCTTCCCAATTCACACCCAGTTGTAATTGTTACATAGTCCATATTCCTAACTTTAGATGCAGAAATGACACAAGCATATAAATTGGATAATCACATTCAGTAAATCATAACCTTTCCATTGATATCGTACATGAGGCATCTTGCATAAAGCATATCTTAGTTATGCCATATTCATATAACAATATTTCTATGAAGAATATGGGGTGTAACATCACAGCATCAATACAGAATAGTTTGGAAATGGGGGGAGGGGGAGAGAGAAATAACTACGTTTGCCTGTGCTGAAGTGTGGTAAAATCTTCTGACACTAAAGGAGAATCTCTGTTTTGCTTCTCTCTAGTGCAAAGCAGCTGGTTCGCGGAGAGCCTAATGTCTCTTACATCTGCTCTCGGTACTACAGGGCACCAGAGTTGATCTTTGGAGCCACCGATTATACCTCCAGTATAGGTATGTATATCTTTTTGTGTATTGCACTCTGTACTGACTGCACTGTTTTTGATTGCTTTTATTGTGAACAAAATAGATTTATAAATAAGTTTATAACTGTCCCAAAGTGCTCAAGTGTGACCCTTGAAAGGAGGATCTGGTTATAGGTGGTCAAAGATTGTTCTTGAAGTAAATGCATGTCCGTTCATGTTTCTGAAGTTATCACTACATGATTTTCTCGCTTCTAGACTTCAGTGTGGGTTGGGAAGTTATTCATGTTTGGCTAAAAGTCAAACTTCAAACAGTTGGGGTTTTTTTTGAGCTGTCCAAACAATTTCAGTGGAGCAGTTTTCTTGCTCAAGTGTTTGGTTGAATTTTATTAAATATTTTTAATAATAAAGAAAATGGATTTGGGTGTTGGTGTCTTGGAAAAACTCTGGGCAAGGATCTGTGTAGTTTATAGGACATAAAAAAATCTCAACAATTTAAATCAAATATGAAAAAGAATAATATAATCCATGTAATAACCCTATTTGTTTATTTTGATATTCAACTTATTTTATGCTGTCCCCACACCTCAAGTTTTCAAAATGTCAAAGATTATTTTTTTTGTTTAGATAACTAATAACTGCATCATAGAAGCTGTCAAGGAAGCTGGCACTTTCGTTAGCCAGAGAGTGAAGACTCGGGGCTTCTGGTACCTGTGGAGGCATAGGCGGCAATAGATTTCTGCTAAAATGAACAGCAATGAAATAGTTAACAATGTTGGTAGTTTTGGTTTCTAAATCACAGAATACATGGGGACGCTGTATGTGGGCTGGCATTAAAGGGGTCATAATTCAGATCTCAAGCTTCCTGATCTGAGGACTTCGTATGTCTATTCCAAGTGATTGAGTGTTTTCATATGGGCCTTGTTTGCACCAGGAGAAGGAGGTGCTTTTAAAAACATACTAGTGATCACATTTTAAAATGTTTCTTAGTACCTAGTGTAGGCAAGATGTAACACCTTTAAAAATGTTAGGTGGTCATGGTCAAGCCTGGGAAGAGTCTAGGACTGACTGTAACCAGTTAGCATATTTTAAAGGCGTTAAGCCCTGTCATACACCAAGTGCTTAGTGGTGTTTAAAAACTAATTAAACAGGTTAGCTAACGTAATTTAAAAAAAAAAAATCTTTTTTCCTAGTCTAGACAGCCACAGGCAGCACCCACGGTTTTTGCTTAGACCTGTGATGAATCCAGTAGAAATACAAGCACTTAGTTTCTATAGGATTACCATTCGTCCGGATTCCCCCGGACATGTCCGGATTTTTGAGCTAAAAATAGCGTCCGGGGGG